TTGCCAACTTTCAATTGATGCAATTCGTGTCACTCTCCTTATAGGGTATAAATAAGATTTTAATTAATATCATTGCAAAGTATTGACTGTTCACTACAAATCCCTTCCTCCCTACACAGGGTGTTCCGCTAAAAAAACTATAACATACTGTAAATAAAATATTCCCTGCTTATTAGATTCAACAGAACTGCAGTACGCACATGACCGCTGGATGCATTTATATCAGATATCACTGTGAAGAGGGAAACCAATATACATTCTAGAACTCTTAACCTTCAATTAACACCGATTATATATATATATATATATATATATATATATATATATATATATATATATATATATATATATATCTGATTGTCTATTAAAGGTTGAGTGTACTGTGCTGCATTCCACTGTATAGCTGTGAAACGTGGCCATTAAAAGTAAAAAATATGAGGTTCCAGGTGGTTGACCGCCATCACCTTCGTAGCACAGACCGTGTTTCGTGGTGTCACCACATGAGTAACGCAGAAGTCAGATGTATAGTTTTAGGGAGGAGAGGTGAGACAGTTGACATGGTTGTGAATCTTCACTGACTGAGATGGCTAGAACATGTATTACGTATGCCTAGCCACCGTCTGCCTCGTCGCACAATGTTGGTCGAAGTAGGTTTAGGCTGGAAAAAGGTTCCGGGTGACCAGACTAAACTATGGCACCAATGTTTGAAGTCTTTGACTGCTGGTTTGAGCTATGTGGGGTGATGTAGACTAGGCGGTTGGAGTCTGCGGGACAAGAGGAACCAGTGGTTGGAGACTAGGTGATATGGCTCAGAACTGATGTCAGTAACGCAAATGTGGACACATTATCCACATCTTAACCACTGTACTTAACCTCATTAGTTTTTCACTCCTCCTTCCTCTCTTTTACTACATTATGTTTCTTTCAACCGATTTTTCGTTTTCTTCATCTTCCAGTTTATTGACTTGTTACTTGGTGTGCTGATATGAGATGCGGCAACTTGAACAATTTCGCAGTAATGCCTTGTCTTATGTTGATTCTGATGGTATATATATATATATATATATATATATATATATATATATATATATATATATATATATATAATTATTTGGAGTTATGACCACCTAAACGTGATTTACAAATATCATAGCCGACTAAATGGTATATTATGATTATTATCCTTAAAATTACAGCTAGTATTGTGATCCTACAAAGATGCGGATAATCCAGTAAGCCTCGTATACAGTTATAAATTAAATATATTATACAAAGTCGTCATCACAAGTTGAAGATCTCTGCTGATTCTACATAATTTTTTGATTTAATCTCAACCAGGTGGCGAATACGTTTCCACAAATAATTTCACCTGACAAGTAATCCTGACTTTGAAAGACAATCTAAGCACAGATGATGGCTAATCTGTCCTCAACTAATCATACCGGAACAAATAATTGTCCTAGTTCAATATAAACGTTTCCTGGCTCAAAAGACACATCTTTTCAACAAAGGAACCAGCTAATCACATTCCCTTCCTCATTTTTTTTCTTATCGCCTTAAACAAAAAGAGGGGAGAAGTATAACGTGCAATAAAGGTTGACCTAAAATAATAATAATAGAGTATATACAAATGTGGAATAAAACAGACAGATCTAGCCTGTAGATTCACTTACAATAAAAAAGATTAGGTCGGTCTTTCTTTGAATGTAAATAAGCATACTGATTGTGTAACAATTAAATTCAGTAAACTGATGGACTGTATGCATCTGTGATTCCTTCTTAAAAAGAAACAGGAATTGAATATACAAAGTTTTCTAAATCAAGCACTTAAAAAACTAGCGTACAGCAAACGAATAGGAGAATTCTCTTCTTTATACTGATACCTCGCTACGGATTCATCTGTATACATAGGTTAACACATGAGAGTGAAGATGAAAGTGTTGCACTCAGCCATTTTCATAACACAAACAACTGTAAATTTCAACACAGCTACAATATAAAAAGACAGAAGAGTCAGAGAAATCTTGGTTGCAATGTGTTCTCTGAGCTTGGTTGTTTAGTCGTGGAACTTTCATCATCTTTCTAGACGAAATCATCAGCGCTAACTTCAGTATGAAGTGAGCTGTCAGTATCTCTCCGTGAGTGATTTAGTCGCTTGCCCTCACGAACTAGAGAAATGTTTTGTATTACATAATAAAGGAATATACTGTATTGTTCTGATTAGCGGACGTTACTACGTAAGCTTATAATGCATTCAAAACACGTGTTAATATATCAGGACTCCCTTTACGCAACCGAAATAGAAAGTAACACGGAAACACTGGTTCAAGTTGCTATACATAACTGCTTAGTGATCATATCATTACTAAAAAGACTATATGCAAAATGACAGCGCCAAGTGCTGGAGAAGGAACTCAAAGTGAAAGTTACAGTCAATGAGTTGAAAAGTGAAGATTTTATCCATGAAATAGAAACAACACTAGGCAGAGTAGGTAGGTAAGACAATCCCAGGTGAACTGCGGACACAACATGTAATAACGCTCAAGCGACAAAAGTAAAAAAGGAAAAGGACTAATTGAGCGAAGAAATATATTCCTTTTCAATTAAGTCTTTGTCTTGGGCTCTAAGCTAATATATGGTTTTACAATTTAATCAAAGCACAAATCAAGTGGTGGGGGGGTAAGTTGGTGAACAATAATCATAATCATAAAGATGATGATTTAGAAATAAAGATGTAAGTGATCAATATTGTTATTAAAATTGGAAATACGAAGCGGTTATTCTTAGGCAAATGGAGTGATTTTTGATGAGTGTTCCATCATAAACAGCAAATGATTACGTAATGGTAAGAAAACAAATGAATATTAGCAGAAACAAGAAGGGGGAAAGATGTACAAAGTAGTACTAGAAGCTATATCATGTTGACGGCCATGGTAATGAAAGTGGTCGAACAAACTTCTTTTGAATACAAAGGTTAGGTTTGTAAAGATGGATTGTAGTCGCCTCTGCTACGTAAAGTAAGTAAGTGCGTAATCCATGTGGTAAATTAATTGGAAAATGATGAATAATTTTGAAAGCTTCTCTAGTATCCACTTGATGTTCCGTGTCAACTAACTGTGCAAGTATGGAGCTCTTTATTGTTCTGATTTGTCCCTTGCTTAACAATGATGGGTGGTGTTCAAAAATTCGGCGATAAAACTGCTCCGCTGTACGCCAAACGTAACTAACTCAAAAGGAGCAATTTGATTGATAAATGCACATGAAAGTGGCAGAATCAGGCAGCTCATCTTTATTTCCTGCCCCTAGAATTGAGTGGTTGTAGATGGGACATAATTTAGCGGCTGGGAGTGCTTTTTCCAAGATTCTTTTTATGCGTTGTGTGACGACCTAATTGAAAAGGAATATATTTATTCGCTCAGTCAATGTTTGTAAATGTCCAAATGGGAATATTCAATGTACAGAAGAAAATCAGACCAGTTTCAGTGAGTAAACTGACAATTCCACTTTAGATAGTAAAATTGGAAGATGAAGATTATCTGAACGATGTGAAGTATTTGGATTAGATATTTCGAACAGTCTGATCACACATTTACTTGTCAAGTAAATTTGCACAAAATAGAAGGATGAAGAGTGCCATAGTTGATACTAATCTCGGTAGGAAAACGAAGTTCACGAAGATAGGCATAGTGTAAGAACAAGCTTTTTTTGGTATACATAAAGCTAGTTTCAATTTGTGTATGACTATCACCTTTGCAAATGTCAGTATGCGTCCCTAACTGTTTTTATATAAAACTTTCAAAGCTGTTCGAACATCAATTTTGTGATCCGTTTCTACAACGTATTTAGCTGTAGGTGATGAGGGTAGTCTTCCACCTGGGCTTATTAAAGTTTTACACTCCATATATTTTTGAAGCCACTTACGAAAGAAAAGGAGAATCAGACAACTGAATTAACTGGTATCTTAAAACTACCTGTCAAGTTCACACATTTAATAGACCATCGGTTACAGCTTTTATATAGCACTCTCCTCAAAACCGGTGGTTATTATCATAGGTGTTAAACAGTGAATCCGCTTTGTAGGCATATCAACAGTATTTTTTAAAATCATGAACTTGTATCATTTGGATAACCTATTAGGCCACAGAAAGAAATGAATGTATGTTTCACTGGAGGTCAAGAACATTTTAGAAGTGTATACACTCCATTTTTTACTTGATAGAGCTCATTTGATCACGACATTGGAAGTACATATTTATTTCATGATAGAACGTAGAAAGTCCTGGAAATGATCTCAAATAGAATTGCGGCTGTACACCGTAGAGGAGATTTAAAGTTCTCTTCTCTAATAATTATTTAGTTTCCCATGAAAATTGTCTCCAGGCTTATTTATTTCATGAAAACACCATGTTGAGGTGTATTAGATTTCTTAGATTAACCTCTTGTCAACACTTACGAACATACAGTGATAAATCCCTCCCTGCTCTACTTAAATTCAGCGCCTTTAACTCTTTGAAAGATAGTTCATGAATATGAATGAGATTGTTCCGATTCGACATAACCCCAAGCGTAGTTATTGTCAACTTTGTTGTGTATGTTTTCAAAAACGTAAGTCTGTATCATGAATTTACTTTTTCCTCTAATAATCACATTGGAAGATAACACATATTCTTGGATGTCTGGAATCCATAAAGTCTTCTGCAAGACCTAACCACTTTTTGCTCAGAAAACAAATAATACTCAGCCTGAAAACTCAAACGATCATTGAAGTGTCAGCTCTTTGTAATACGAATGCAAGCAAAAATAGCATGCAGTATAGTGTTTAGCGTGTATTGAAAATGACCAATTTTTTCTAGATAAAACCATTTGTATGTTAAAGTGTTCCTCAGTTTACGCTTATGCAATTCACCATACCACTCTCTGGCAAAGTAGTTTACCTATTTTCTACAAGCAGTACAGAGGATAACATGCAACCAAACCCAGTAAGATGTTTCTGAACTTACTGATATAATTAGACGCAAAAATAAACAGGATAGTGATATTATTCCTTGATATTACGTCATTGTGCACAAATTTTCCACTGGGAACGGTTGGCTGTATATCAGATATTACACGAAATGAAGTGAGTATTGGAATTCCTATAACGGTGAACACATTGTGTTCAGTTTCTTCTGAAGTGTCTATCACAAACTGTTTTAAAGTGAACAGTAAACAGACTTCGATAATTTTGTCGCACTATGACAAAACGAATCTGGTTGCATATCTGCTTGAAACGACAAAGAGAATATGGTTTGTTGAAAAAGGGACACAGAATCCGATGTAAACATTCAGATAGTCAATATCTGCAAGAGTTTATTCAGAACTTGATAAGAAGATTAGACAAATCAATCATCTCCAAGTGTCACCAAAAAGATACATCCACTGACCTTGAAGTTAAAGACGATAATCTACCCAAAGTTATTACAAACAGACTTCGGGACTTGTTGAAGAAGACATTTCCTGCAATCACTTGAAGATAAACTTTCAGTAACGCATGCATCTTACTGTTGCGTCTGATCAACAGGATTTCTGAAATGTCCATGTCAATTTGCAATCATGGATACAACTTCCCCTATGTTATTTATCTGAAATTCGCTACGAAAATCCTTTTCCAAAGTGAGAAAGAACATTCCCCGGTATGAACAGAAAAATAAAAAATAAGGAAGATTACGAGTTCTTTTCTCTCCCATCTAATAGACACTGGTCATACTGTAGAATCATCATCATCATTATCAACATAGGACCAGGCATTACTGCGTAACGGTCCGAGTTGCCACACCTCATATCAGCACATCAAGTAAAAAGGTAGTGAGGTGAAGGATGAAGATAAGTGAATGCAGTCAAAAGAAATATAAAGTACGAGAAGAAAGGAAAGAGGAGTGACAAAATAGTGAGATTCGGTATAGCGTTGTTAAGATGAGGATAATGTGTGTATACATCTGCGCCACTGACTTCGGTTCTGAGCCATATCACCTAGGGTCTCCAACCACTGGTTCCTCTTGTCCCGTGGACCCCAACCACCTAGTCTGCATCGTCCTACATGGCTTAAACCAACAGTCAGAGACTTCATACATTGGTGCCATGTTTTAGTCTGGCCACCTCGGGCCTTTTTCCAGCCTGAACCCACCTCAGCCAACATTGTGTGACGAGGCAATCGGTGACTAGGCATACGTAGTACGTGTCCCAACCATCTCAGTCGATGAAGGTTCACAACCTCGTCGACTGACTTACCTCTTCTCCCTAAAACTCTACACCTAACTTCTGCATTACTCACATGGTGACACCACGGAATACGTCCTATACTACGAAGGCAACGGTGGTCAAATACCTGTAACCTTCTCATGTCTTCCACTTTCAATGGCCATGTTTCACAGCCATACAGTAGAACAGAGCGGACTGCTGTGCAGTACACGCGACCCTTAATAGACAAACGAATATCACGGCGGCGCCATAGGTGGCGCAAATTGGCAAAAGCCAATCGAGCCTTTTGTATCCGTGCAGAAATCTCATCGGCAACTAACCCACCGGAGTTGATCCTACTTCCCAGGTAAGTGAAGTGGTCAACACACTCAACCACTTCACTCTCTATTGTTAACCGCGGTACCGCTGAAGACCAGTCCTGGAGCAAAAATTTGCATTTGGGTGGTGAAAATCGCATCCCAAACATTCTCAAATTCCCACTCAAAGTGTTCAGAAGACTCTGCATCTTGTCAGCGTCTTCACCTAACAGGACTATGTCATCTGCATATTCTAGATCTAAGGAAAATTCACCTGTGATCCGGTCAACGTCTTTGTAATTAGGTGACGAGAGGGAAACCTCCATAAGAATATCTATGATAAAATTAAATAAGAATGGGGATAGTGGGCATCCTTGACGGACACCACTTGATGAGTATAGCTCCCTGGACAACTCACCATAGGCTCTAACATGCCCACAAGTGTTCGAGTAGAGAGCTTTCAATAAGGTGATGTACTTACTAGGCACGCCTTTCAGTGACAGACACTGCCATAAGACTTCTCGATCAACGGAGTCAAATGCCGCCTTCAGGTCGAGAAATACAGCTATTGTCGGGCGTCTGTAAGCATGCCTATGTTCCAGGACCTGGCGCAGTGTGAATATTTGGTCGATACATCCACGGCCAGGTCTAAAGCCTGCCTGGTTTTCTCGGGCTTGCTGTTCCCGAGCTCCACTCAGGCGTCGGAGAATTATAGAACTTAGGATCTTAGACACTATGTTTGTCAGGCTGATTCCTCTGTGGTTATCACAAGAGGACTTCTCGCCTTTCTTGAAGACTGGGATGATGAGTGACTTAGACCAGTCGGAGGGGATCGTATTTGATTCCCATATACTGGCTAACACTTCCGTTAGCCTGACTAAGAGAACTCTACCACCATTCTTGTATACCTCAGCAGGTAGTCCGTCTGGTCCTGCTGCCCTTCCCCGTTTCAGGCTACCTACCGCTTTCTCAACTTCTTCTAGTGTTGGGGGACCTGTCTCTATGTCCCATTCAGGGTCCGACTGGATAGCGGGCAGCGCAATGGTGGCTGGAGGCCAGTTAAACTGTTCCTCAAAGTGTTCTGCCCATCGTCCCAGTCGCCTTCCCTGCGAGTGAATCGCCGATCCGTCCTTCTCCGCTATAACCTCACTAACTGTTGTTGACCATTTCCCCCCAGTCTCCTTAATAAGTCTAAATAACTGTCTACTGTTACCGATCGCCGCTGCCTTTTCCATCTCTTTAGCCTTTGCTGCCCACCACTGTTCACGATCGTTGCGCAGACTTTTCGTCAGTTTATTTTTAAGTTGCGCTCGCTCTTCATTGTACTCAGAGCCTGCAGGGATGCATTCACGTGCATCCATTAGTTTGGAAGAAGCTGCTGATATCCACTGGCTCTTTTTAGCCATTATCTTGGAGTCGGCTACAGTCTCCAGTGCTGCTTTTACAGTAGACTGAAGATGGCACCAAGCTTCTTCTGGATGAGTGACAGTCTTTTGTTCCGATAACTGCCTAGCCAACTTCTCACTGAACACGGCTTTGGTGTTTTCGTTGTCCAGCAGAACTCGTAGTGGTTTTGTTGCCAAATTTTTTCTACGTCCATTGAGACGCAGGCATATACGTGCTCGGACCAACGCATGATCGCTGTCCAAACACGTACTCCAGAAGGAGCGGCAGTCTTCCACCGATCCTCTCCAGCGATGACTAATAGCAATGTGGTCTATCTGTGTCCATCGCTGAGTCGAGCTCGGTGGACGCCAGGTCAGACAGTGCCTTTCTTTATGTCTGAAATTTGTGCTGGCTAAAAATAGGCGGTTATCTGAGCATAGTTGTAATAGGCGATCACCGTTATCTGTACGTTCAGCTGGGATTCCGAAAGTGCCACCTAAGTGCCTTTCTGCCTCACTCAGTCTACCCACCTGTGCGTTGAGGTCACCTGCAACAACCACTACGTCCGAACGTTTGGCTTTCGAGAGGAGGTTAGACAGTTTATGGTAGAACTCGTCCTTCACTTCATCCGAACTACAGTCAGTGGGTGCGTAAGCAGAGATTACAAAGAGACAACGGCGAGTCTCACTATTCCTTTTAGTTCTCACTGTGCCGTTCAGCCTCATAGCGCAGAGGCGACTATCAACTGGGATCCAGTCTAGTAGTGAGTTTTCTGCCCTGGTGCTTAATGCTATACCTACACCTGCAAGACCACGAGAGCTAGCTATCGAATCTCCAGAAACTCGAAGGGTGAATTTTGCAGATTCACCAGATTGGTCAGGAGAGGTCAGGTGAATAACCACACTTGGGTCCTGTATGCGTGTCTCACAAACACAGCACACATCCATGCCTCGAGTTGCTAGAGTCTTTGCCAACGAAGCCTGTTGGCCAATTTGACGGAGGGTGCGGACATTGAAGGCTCCAATATGTAATTTGGAGCGTGGTTTAAGGAGACCAGGGACGCTGTTCTGTGGACTCAGATCGTTGTCGAAGGCTGCAGAGGTAGGAGAAATTGAAGATGATGCAGCATCATTAATTAAGAGACGTGAAGGAAGATTAGAAGGTAATGATGGAGGAGGAGGATAGCAGTCAGAAGAAACTTGGGTGCTGACAGAGTTGTGAGGGCGGTTGACACTTCCCGGCTGCCCACACCGTGGAAGGCTATTTCTTCTTAAGGTACCTGAAAGAGATTTGTGTGACCGCAGAGCCCATCGGACATCTGCTTGAGGCCTGTCACACCCAGCCTTTTGAGTATGATTATTTTGAATTTTTGTATTTTTGGGGCCGGATGGTCGAAAGGAAACGACAAGTGAACCAACACCGCCGGCCCGGCAGACCGTGGGGCGTGGTGGAGTGTGTTATTTTTGGGGCCGACCTTTTCTAACCCCCCCTTCCACTGAGAAGGCAGCATCAGCTTGGCACTGCTGGTCATCCAAGGGAAACACCTTACTGCTGTCACACCCCATCCAGCTAGCAGCAGTACGACTTCGCCCTCAGACCCCCATCATAGTGTAGCAATTTACACTATGACGGTAACTGCTTTTCGTCTAACCACTACCCAACAGACCTTTCTGGTATGGTAGGACCTCGAGGGAACAAGCGTTCCACCAGCATAGCTCGTTGGGTCATTGTGATATGCAAGCCCGACCACCACGTCAAGGTAGCAGCTATCGGTCGGGTCATACTGTAGAAACTGCAGAACTGTAGGATATTAGAACTGTTTTTTTCAGCAATGCAAAATACTGAACCGAATATCACAAGTACAGAGAATTTCTTTTTCAAATTGCTGAACCAGAATAATCATAATCATGAAGCCTGAATTTTGTGTTCAAAAACGCTTCATACATTTTTTTATTACTCCCATAGTCATCCACAAGGATGAAAGTCACGTAATGCAGGCAAGCAATCATTCAACCAACTTGTATATATTCAACGCTAATCTGATTTTACGATTCGTACTATTGATTCAGCCTTTTGATTTTTATGTCTCTCACAGTTGACTTAAATATTCCGTAATTACTCACTCCTTGTTGTGACTTCTTTACATTTTAGTATAATTGTAATCATTCGCACACCTAATAATCCTTTTATCTATTAGGTATTTGTAACCTTTTGAAATAAACTTTCAAGCAATTTTAATCCCATGATCAGTTGATGGCAGAGATACTTATCGATATTTATGTAATCTCTAGACTTGTAAATTTTTCTAACCACAAAATGTTGCAATAGAAAGCAAAACATGCTGAGAACAACGAAAATACGTATTCGTTCACTTTCTCATCTTCCCCATGTCACTTATTTTATTTTAGAAGTAGTATTCATCATGGACTGACATCAGTTGAGGAACCATTGGAACTCTGGGAGCATTGGACAGCTTTTTCGTCCTAGTATGGGACTCCTCAGCAGTATTCCCTGGTTAATAATTTACTAAGTAGCTATACCTTCAAAATAAGACCTTAAATATATAGACTGTAATGAGTAGAAGAAAAAAATTATTGGTTCTATGCTAGCAAACGTCTTTAGTCATATATGACAATTACATGAACAATTTACACTATCCTTTCTCACATAATGGTTGAATGAGATCTAATTATCTGTAAGGTGTGCGAACAAGGCAT